TTTTTTTTTTTTTTTTTTTTTTATCATGAACTTGCTCAAACTGTTTTAGAATCACTGTGGGGAAACAGAAGACCAAGCAAGATCAGATAGTTTTGGAGAAACCAATGAGCAGATGAGAGTACATTCCTGTCATATCAACTTGGTAAGCCACAGTAGACCAGGGAAACAATGACAGAGACAGATCAGCTCATAGTGGACTCCAGAGTGACGTAGTTTGGTAGAAACAAACAAAACAAAAAAAAGGGGAAGAGGACGAACTATTCATTAAGAGGGGCCTATAAAATTAGTAGGTAATGGGTAGTCCAAATAGGGCAACAAAAATCTCTTTTCTACCTGTTCACCTTATAACTATAAACGTCAAACACATTCGTGTGCTTAATGTGAAAAGCAAGATATAAGAAGCTTTAAGAGAAAATATTCGGAACTATTTTTACCGTCAGGACAAGGGGAAGATGTTTATATAAAGGCTGAGGGTACACAGCACAGAAGGGGTTAATTAGGATATATTAAAATTTGCTCCATCGAAAGTCAAGGAAAGCAAAATAAAAAAGCTGCAGGAATTCCACCAAGAATATGGAATATGAAAAGAATGTTATTCCACCCAAACCACAAGAGGAACCCAGATAAACTACTCAACTTATGTTCCTTGAATCCGTCAGCAGAGATGGCTCAGGGTGACCAAGAAGGGAGACAGGTCCCTCCAGGGGAAGAGGGGAAAAGCAGGAGGTGACACAGTGTGTGATAAGTGTTCAGCTAATTTTTTTCTTTCTTTCTTTTTTTTTTTTCTTTTTGATCCAGGGATTGAACCCAGCAGGGATGCTTTACCACCATCCCCAGCCCTTTTTAATTTTTTTTTTTTTTTTTAATTTCGAGATAGGGTCTCGCTAAACTGCTGAGGCTGGCCTTGAACGTATAATCTGCCTGCCTCAGCCTCCTGAGTTGCTGGGGTTACAGATGACTTATGTGGGCAGGCATGAGAACAGGGACGCCCTGGGAGCTGCAGACACAGCCTCCTGTCCTCAAACAAGACAGGCTCTGCTGCTGAGGCAGATGTCGGGGAGCTGACGTTCAGAGGCTGCTGGCTGATAACTGGGGAGTCAGCCCTCCCTTGAAGGCTCTCTTCAGGGGCCTCCGGGACCCCAGGGCTGTGGTGAGATCCTCCTGTTGGATAACCGGGAGGGAGAGTTTCACCAGATCCTGGAGCGGCTGTGCAGCAGGACTCACAGGCTTGTAATCCTGTCCCGTCTTTCATTTGGAGACGTGTAGTAAAGCTGTTCACTTGAAGACTTTGGAAGCAGATAGCTTAGGGTTCAGACCTGGACTTTGAGCCTCCCTGTTTTGGGGAGTCTTGGGTGAGTGCGTGGTATAGACTGCTGTGTGCGGTGATGACTGTCACGAGGGTGCAGGTGCTAGGTAGAGTCGTGGGTGTGAGCGGGATCTCCAGGGGAGCTGTGGAGTGCGGGCGGATGGACCCAGGACCATCACGGGCAGCCCCGTGTGTGGGGGAAGGGTGACACAGGAAGGGCGCTGTCAGGACTTGAGCGGTCCAAGAGGACAGGGAAGGAGAGAGATCTGCAGAGTCGTGCTGTGGAGGGGCCAAACAGGAACATGCCACGGTTCCTAGCCGTGCAGAGGGAGTGTGTGGGAGTGGAACCCCCCGTGGGGCCTGGCCAAGGGGTTCTGTCTTCCCACATCTCTCAGGTCCCTCCCAAGCACTAGCTTGTTTGAACTGCTGAGGCCCAAGTGTCCCGGCACCTGCAGCCACCAACTCCATAGTATTTAGCGTCCAGCAGAGCGGTCACCTGCAGGGCTTTTATGGAGAGGACGTGGGCTTCGCGCTCCCTTTTAAACCCAAACGTTTTTCGAGGGAACATTTTAAACATTTAAACATTTAAAAAATAATGGTGGTTTCTCCCCATGTGCCTTAAGGATTTCCGAGTACGGCTGCATGCTGGAGATCAAGGAGGTCAGAACCTTTCCTGATGGAAGCTCCGTTGTGGATGCCATCGGAGTCAGTCGGTTCCGAGTATTAAGCCACCGTCACAGAGATGGCTACAACACGGCGGACATCGAATACCTGGAAGATGAAAAGGTGAGGCTCATTTTCCTAGTGTCTTTCCTAGAGGTCAGTTACCTTTTTTCACTCTGCGTCCCGGAAAGGCCTGGCCGGGTTTTCATTCACAGCCTTGCTTATTTCCTTCTTCATCTGGCCCTGAAGTGGTTCATTCTCTGGGTGCAGTATTACCTGGGTTGGGGCTGGTAGAGAAATCTCTTACTGAGATTCCTGCGTGGAGAGACTTGTACGCCACCTGCACGTCACAGACTGGGTTTGTGATTCCTCGTCTTCTCGCCCAGGGGCTGGCAGACTTTTCCTAGAAAGGCCAGGTTTTCAGTTGACCCTCTGAATCTTGAGTTCTGCTCCCCGGATTCAGTTGACCATGTGTCAGAAACATTGTAAAAGCAAAATTGAGTCTGTACTGAGCACGTGTAAACATGTTTCCTTGGAATCAGTCCCCCAATGGCACAGTATAGCTGGATATGGTGGTGCACAGCTCTAGTCCAGCTTCTTAAGGTGCTGAGGCTGGAGGGAGGATCTCTTGAGCCTACAAGTTTGAGGTCAGGCTGGGCAACACGGTGAAACGCTGCCTCCTAAAAACAAAAACAATGCAGTGTAACAGCTGACTACAGGGTGTTGGCATTGTAGTAGGTGTTCTAAGCCATCTAGAGCTGATTTACAGTGTGTGGGAGGATCTGTGTGATCATATGCAAATTTTGCGTTATTTTATAGGGATTTTGATATCCACAGGGGGTCCTGGAACCAGTCCCTATGGGATGACTGGACTTTAGACTTTGCAAGCCATGTGCTCTCTGTTGCAGCTACTCAGCCGCCTGGGAGTGCAAAAGCAGCAATAGGCCATATGTAAATAAGTGGGCCCAACAACCAGCCTCCAGTAAAATGTTATTTATGAAAACATGATGGTGGAAGGCGTTTGACTCACAAGCAGTAGTTTGTCAGTCCCTGTTCCTAGTTCCTGGTTTAATCCAGAATGAGCTGTAATGCAAAACAATAGCCTTAATTCACAGCTAAATATAAAAGACTTGAGTCTCTCACCCCTTAGCAATTATTTGTCTAATTTGTCAAAAGAAGTATAAATAGCCAAAAATTATATTTAAAATGCTCAACATTTTTAGCTGTTAGGAAATGCAAATCACAAGTACATTGAGATTCCTTGTCACCCCAGTGAGGATGGCTATTGTCAAGAAAAATAAAGAAATATTAGAATGCAGGGAAAAGGAACCATTATACACTATTGATGGGAATGCAAATTAGTATGGCTACTATGGAAAACAGTATAGAGGGTCCTCAAATAACTAAAAGCAGAACTGCCTTATGTTTCAGCTATACCACCTCTGGGTACATACCGACAGGAATCAAAGTCAGCATACAATATATACCAGCACACCCAGGTTTATCATAGCATTATTCACAAGAGCCCAGTTATGGAACCAGTCTGAATGCCCATCAGGGTCCATTTCTACGTGATGGAAATGTTCTCTGTCTTGTTTAGGTTGATGGTTAGACTGGTGTGCACAGTGACAAAATTGACTGAGGCAAATAATGAATAAAGAAAATACGGTGCAATACACAATGGAGTGTTATTAAGCCATAAAGAAGAGTGAAATCATGTCTATCATCTGTAGGAAAATGGATGGAACTGGAGGTCATCCTGTTAAGTGAAATAAGCCAGACTCAGAAAGACAAGTAAGGGGGCTGGGGTTGTGGTAGAGCACTTGCCTGGCATGTGTGAGGCACTGGCTTCAATTCTCAGCACTCAGATAAACTAATAAAATAAAGGTCCATCAACAACTAAAAAAATACTGACAGCAACCACAAAAAAGTATTACTTGTTTTCTCATGTGTGCAATCTGGGGCAGGGGTGGAATATGACATGAAATGAGTAGGGATAAGAGAGGATTACTTGTTTCTAATAGAAATATCAGGACACATAATTTGACAAATTAGCAAAATGTTTTGAAGAGATTTAAAAAAAAAGACTTATGAGAATATCCATAAGAGTCTTATTAATAGCTAAAAGCTAGAAGCAGCCCAGATCTCAACGGGTTGACAGATAAACAAGTTTGGTACATTTATACAGTGGAATACTACTCAACAGTAAAAAAGAATAAACAACATGGATGAATCTCACAGACATTATACTAAGTTAAGAGAAGCCAGTCTCCGGAAAAATACCAGTATTTAATCTACATAGGCAACAGGCACAACCATCACTATGGGTATACTTGCAGGCACAGGCAAAACTAGCATCTGGTAATGAAACTCAGAAAACGTAGGGTGGACTTTGTAATCTTACGTGATGGAAATATTCTCTGTCTTGTTAAAGTTGATGGTCAGACTGGTGTGCACAGTTGACAAAATTATCGGCAAATAAGAGTTGCACATTTATTTTTGGTATATAAATTATACTGTAACAAAAAAATGTTTTTAATATTTAGAAGGAGGAAATTGTTGGAATCATTGTATTCTTTTTTAAAATTCTTTGACATTTGGAAATGTGGAAGTAAGAGTCTGTGGTCTTCCGTAGAAGTCATGTTGGGGATGATGATGCATATTCATGAAGTGGATCCACACACCCAGTGCACCAGGCCCCTCTCCTCCAGCTGGGTCTCTGCTGCTGTCTGGCAAAGGAGCAGAGCACGGAGCCAAACTCCAAGGTCACTGGACCACAGAGCTACATTTGAAGACCATGGCTGAAAGTGATAGTCCTCAGGGTCTCTGTGCTTTATTGACCGTTATGGATGACAGCTTTTATGTATTTGTATTTTTTTTTAATTTTTTTTTTTAGTTGTAGATGGACACCATGTTTTTATTGATTTATTTTTATGTGGTGCTGAGGATCGAACCCAGCGCCTCACACGTGTGAGGTGGGCGCTGTACCACTGAGCTACAGCCCCAGCCCTGTATTTATATATTTTTAAATGGCTCAAATAGTAACAACATGAAATAAATTTAGAGTTTGTTTTTTTTTTTTTAAAGAAAATCCACCACCACCTAAGAATATTTGATTTTACAAATCAAGTTTAGGAGGGCCATTTGTGTAACAGTGGCATTCCTCAGTCTCATAGATAGCTGGAATTCTATAGCCAGAAAGGACCTGAGTGGTTGACTTCCATTTTGCAGATGAGAAAACTCTGCCTTAATGAGGCTGTGAGCCTGCTTAGAATTCACCCATGTTTAAGTCAGTGATGAAACCAATCATCTAAACCCAGGCCCCGGCCCACTGTTCTTACTCTACCGGTTCTTCTGAGGAAGGGCTGAGACGGAACTGTAAGACACTGGACTTGACAGTGAGAGAGACACCAGAAGCCAAGTGTTCCCGCTGAGCCCTAGCTAATGCATGAATGAGGGGTTGCTCTATTGTGTCTTCTGGAATACAGTTTGCTGATATGGACTACAATTTTTAAAATGTTAAGTTCTTTCACTTGGTAATTCTATTTCCAGGAAATTCTCCTGAGGAAATAATACTTCCCTCACCAAAAAAAAAAAAAAAAGAAAGGAAAAAAAACTGTTTTTGAATATTTATATTCAAAATTAAAAAGTTGAAAGTGTCTCAATCTATCTTACATTAAAAAAAAAGTTGAAAGTGTCTCAATCTATCTTATGTAAATGGTTAGATTACAGTATATCTCAAGTGTATAATTACATGCATCCATTGAAAATCATTCATCATGTGGAATTGTGCTTATGTTAAGAGTCTTAAGAGGAATAATCATGCAATCAGTAGCTCTCAATTAGGCAAAAAGAAAGAGTGCAAAATTTCTTTATTGAGAATATACCTTTTTTATGAAACAGTCGTGAATTATTGAAACAATAAACGCCGCCACAAATGCACTTGGCGGATACGGCAGGGGTCGCTAGCTGGAGCAGACGAGGGGAGGGCCACATACCTCCTGAGTTATTAAAATGGCTCTCTCCTTTTCCTTGGCCAGGTGGAAGGTCCGGAGTATGAAGAACTGGCTGCTCTTCATGATTCTGTTTACCAGCAGTCCGTGTCCTGGTTCGCATCTCTTCAGGACCACATGAAAGAACAGATCCTAAGTCATTTTGGGTTAATGCCTGACAGGGAACCTGAGCCTCAGGTATGGTCTCCTTCTCCCTTCTTCATGCTCTGCGTCCTGCTATACTGTGCTGAGACACATCAGTTTGATGGAAAAATTTGGCAGCACAATGCCGTATATTCCATTCACTGCTTACCAATCAGTTCCTTTATTAACAGCCCAAGAAAGCCCTTAGTATGGGCATCTTGTGCATTGAAGGAAAAAAAGTGCTTTCTATCAAGATAATTTCTTTTCTAACAAAAACCCTCCTGTTCTGCGTGGCCGCCAGCTCCTGGGCTTTTGCTTTTCTCATGAACACCGTAAGACCTCGATAGCGGTTTCGTCATTTTTCCACATGGTGTTTCCTCGTTCCTAGACCAGCAGGTGTTGAGTCAGCAGGGAGACCCCTGTGATCCTGGTGAACTTGGAAGCCTTATTTCCAAGTCCTGGGTGGGGCCCAGGCATCATGAGCTTTCTCTGGTACTTCCTGAAAATGATTTTCGGGTAAAGCTGGTTTTTTAAGCAGTCAATGGGCCTTAGGGTTTTGGAGTATTTCTACGTGCACATGACCTCCTCGTTTGGGTGAGGCTGTTCAGCAGGGATGATGTCGGATTGTGACTGGCACAAGATAGTTCCTCCCATCTGCACGTGGGCATCTGTCTATCTTATCATGTGTTTGGGGTTGGAGGTCGGGGGGTAGGACCAGCTCTCAACAGGTTTAGTGTAAGGTCAGTTACCTCTTGTCTTTCCCCCATTTATTTATATCTTTTTTGTAAGGTCAGTTACCTCTTGTCTTTCCCCCATTTATTTATATCTTTATCTCATCTCTTGATGAGGTTTCTAGATTTTACCCTCTGGTTGAGTTCTGTGTTTTCCAAACTCAGGAGAGAGCTTTAAGAGCCAGAACTGCTTCCAAGTCCTACCCGACCGTCCCTTCTCACGTAAGCCCTCTTGCTCCTCCGTGCTCTGACTCAAGATTCAGAAAGCAGAGTGATGAGATTAACTTGCCAGGAGCTGTGAGTCCTTCTTTTCCCAAAGGCTTTTTCTTATTAACCCAGATTGATCTTTAATTGGTACATGTATTCGCTTTCTTTAATGCTGCGGCAGAAGATCACAAAGGTGGTGGCTTAAAGCAGTGCAAATGGATCGTCTTATATGTTAGTTTTCTATGTCAGAAACCTGACGTGGGTCTCCCTGGGCCCTGATCAAATGATGGCCATATGCATCGTTTTCAGGAGACGTCGAGGAGAGTCTGTTTTCACTGCATTTTCCGGCTGCTGGAGTCTGTTGGCACTCTTAGCTCATGGCTGCCTGCCTCCATCATCCAAGCCAGCCAGGGACGTCACATCCTGTCACTTCTCCACCGTCACATCTCCCTGACCCCCACCTGGAGAGGCCCCTGGTGATTGCACTGGGCCCACTAGGAGACTCCCACCTTGAGATCCTACCTGCTCCACCTGTGTGGAGTCCCCTCTGCCACGTGAAGTGCCATGTTCACAGGTGTTAGGATCAGGTGGTGGGCATCTTTGGAGGGTGTTATTCTGCCAGTACAGAGGACTTTAGGTAGTATGCAGGAGGCACTTTTTTTTTTTTATGTGCTGTCCTTCCCATTAGGCATGCTGTTCAGTTTTTTCCCACTGTAAGACGAGGAGGGAAGAGAAAAATGTGAATTCATTTAGGTCATTTTCCTGCAGCCCCTGTGTTGGAGGTCACCACAGAAGGGTGAGTCACGGTCCTCCTGACTGTGACTTGGGCTTCCCCTTTGGCCTTTGGCCACAACGTTACTCCTAACCCTGAACTAAAACCACTCCAGAGTTCACCCTCCCTGATGCCCAGTTGGTATTTTGCCTGTCTTTGGAGTAGGAACGGAAGAGAATCGGAGACCTTGGAAGCAGAGAGACAGGGATGTCTTGGGTCCAGTATCAGGAAAATTGGAAATGAGTTTATGAGCAGCTTTTGCCTAGAGCTCAATCCAGAAGTACCTGTTTGATTTTGTTAAAGAAAGGCAATCATATGCATATACGCAGGAATAGGTGTATGTATTTTTATGTGTGTGTGTATATATACACACATATATTTATTTCTATAAATCTATATAAATTTGCAACATGTGTATGTGTATAAATTCATGATAGTTCCCACATGTAACATGTCTATATATAAATGTTTTATACATATTACATATTTATACATATTACACATTGGCCACATTGACTTTATTTCCTTGGGCACTCAGTGTTATACTCGTGCTTTTGTAGCCTTTATAATATCATGCTTTATGGAGCCTGCTTAAAACTTACAAAACAGTAGCACTGGACACTGGACCGTGGAGGTCACACTCCTGGCCTTCTCCTCTGGCTGGCGTGTACTCAGGAGTACAACTCATCCATGGCATTCCCCTGTGGAAGGGCCATCTCTCAGCAGCCTCTTTGCTTCGTGAGTCTCCCGACCTTTGAGCAGGTGACATTGGACTGTGCAGTTTGAGGATGGATGAATTGTGAGGTGGTCCTACAATAATAGAAGGTGGCATCTAATTTTTGCTCACATTTGTTGGTTAAACCAGAACTATATCAGGGAACAGGTGTCGGTATATTTTAGGCCTCAATCTTGTGTTTCTTCTCCTTCCTTTTGCAGAGCAATCCCAGTGGTCCTGCCTGGTCCTGGTGGATCCTGGCAGTGCTGCCGCTGGAGCGCAAGGCTCAGCTGGCCATCCTGGGCATGACCTCCCTGAAGGAGCGCCTGCTTGCCATTCGGCGAATATTAGTCATCATCACACGTAAGATGAATAGTCGCCAAGAGGTGGTTAATAACAGGGAAAGAAATAACTGATTTTCTCTCTGCGTTGAGGTTTCTGGAATTCCCTGTGCTGCCGTGAGTGCTGGGAATGGACGAGCACCCGTCCCCGCCACTGCGCTTTGTAAAATGCTTGTCGATAAGGTTGCCAAATGGAACTCTTGCCAAACGCTGACTCCTGCTCACTAGTTGCAAGTCTGTGCCTGGTGGAATCTGACCCAGTACACAGTGAGCCTGAAATTCACATGGCGCCCGTGGTTGGAAAACCACCTGAGAAAGTCTCCTTGAAGCCAGTGTTTCAGGAATGCAGTTCACTGATAATACAGGGCACCGCGTGCGACTCACAGGAAGCAGAGGTTTCACAAGGATGGAGGACTCCATTCCTGAGGAGGATCTGGCTCTGCCAGAAGGAATCGAAACACGTCAGTGACCACAGACAGCCGTGGGCGGTGGGGTGGGGGGGGTTCGTGTTTTAATCTGGAAACAGATACTAGAGCACAGGCTAACCAAAAAAAATGCGCTTAGGCTTTGTGTGTCCCTGTGAAGTTATCTGTGAGATTAAGGAATCAAACCATTGTCCAGTGCAGTAGCCAAAATTAGTCCTTCCCCAAGAAGTAGCAGTTTTGGGTAGAACTGTGTTTCACGTCTTGCTGTAGTCCCAGGTGTCGTAAACTGCATGTTGCAATCCAATGAATGTCAAAATACAAGATGTATCTCGGATATAGAGAAGTCTGATAATAATCTAGTTAATTTGAGGCTATATATTTATACACGCTCAATGAACAGTCGGCGAGAGTACGTTTAAACTGTATGTGTGTTGGGATGTCAGACATACCGCCAAAGTCGGCCAGAGAGCCCCTGCAAGCAGAGCCCCGTCTCATTGATTTAACGGATGCTAAGCATTTAAGAGACAGTCCACTTCTCTACGAGGCTTTGCATTACAGGCTAGGCCCATCCGTAAATTTCAATTTACTATCCATCCACTAACATATGAAGATGTTAAAAAATTGCCATGCCGGGGTAATCTGCCTGTTCAAGGGAAATCAACCAGAATGTACAAGGAAAGAGAGACTGGCGTGGGATGTCAGTGTTCAGCAAATTTTTCTCCAACATCAACCTAAATTTTTATTAGATCGGTTTTGTGTTTATCAGACCAAACATTATTTATCAAAGAACAATAGGTGTACCTTGGTTAATGCACAGGGATGACTATTTGGGGTACCCAGATGTTCCCGCTGTTCTACCCAGCTGGTGCAGATAACTGGCTTCCTAGATTGTGAGGCACACGTTCTTAACCAAAGGATGATGAGAACTAATGAGCAAATGACAGCTACAAGTTCTGCCTCATTCATTCAGAGGATTCAATTGTTTCAGTTTTAAGAAATTTTTCATAGTACAAAAATTTTGATGACATCACTTCATCAGTTATTTTACTAGCAGGACATTATAATCATTAATTTTTTTAATCGTAGGACTTTTCAGTAACTACGATTGCTTCATTATGGGAGTTAGAAAATACTAGACTCATTCAACTTAATTATAAGGAGAAAGTATTCACTGACCAAGTGTTTCAAATGCTGATTGTGAATCTCAAATCTCATTTTGAATGTGGTTTAAAGGCAGCTTGGATTTCTAGGAGAGTGTATTAATTCATGCATTCACAATAGTACATTTCTAAGGCATGATGACCTAATCTGACCACTTCAATAAAAAAAAAAAAACTGATTGACATGCCAGGAAGCCTTTAGTAGAAGTGATTCATGAAAATTAATAGGTATCAATCATTGTCTGTCTCTTTTTGAAAAAAAAAAAATTTCATACCTTTGTTAAGGATTCTTTTGCTCAATTCAAATGGAAATTGGAAAAAGGCAAAGGGCCACTCCCTTAGTTCTAGTGCTCCAACATCCAGGTGCCAATGACTCTCTGCTCTTGATGTTCAGCTCCAGGCTTTGAGTGCCAGCGATTCTCAGCTTTTAGTGTTATAGCTCTGAGCTTCAAGTGCCTGTGGCTCTCGTATCTCAGAGTAGCCCTGTTCCCTGAGTGCCCGTGCTTCCCAACAGCTGGCATTAACAGCTCTTGTAGCTGCTGCTGGAAACTCCTCAGCAGCCAGAGTTAGCAGCTCCCGACAGTCTCCCACGGCTCTCTGCTCTCAGCCTTGGTCTGGAGCTCGCCAGCAGTGATCTGCCTGTGAGGCGTTCTCCAGGCTAGCAGCCCTGGTTACCAGCTCTTACCGCGACCAGCTCAGCCCACTCTACCCAAGATAGAAATCATCTGAATAAGTCTTTATTGGGGCTTATGCTGCAGCAAAGCAGGCAGAGTGGCGAATGGAAGTCCCAGACTGGCCTGATAAGACTGAGAAAAGTGCTGCTTATGTAGCAAAAAAAAAAAAAAAAAAAAAAAAAAAAAAACAGTGCTCACATGTCCACAGTCTCCTGCCTACTAACCTAACCAGACTTTCTTCAGTCCTGCCAGTCTGCATAGTTGTACTGGCCCAGCTGTCATGGGGGAGTGGTGAGGACATCTGAAGAGGAGGCAGAGATGTCTGGGGTGGTTCAAGGATGTCCAAGGCTGCCCCAAGTAGAGCAGTCTCCTGGAGTCATGGAGGCCTCTGGAGCCGCCGTCGCTATCCAGACAGCTCTGTGGGACTGTCAGAGAAGCAGCCACTTGATTGACAGTTCCTGCAGTTTCCATGGTAGCCATAACAGCTGCATGACAGCTGCAGGAGTGCAGAAGTAGCAGCAGCAGCAGGTGGGTTGGGCTTCATCTGCTGTCATGATGACAGGCAGCCAGGCTGCCAAAGTCGGGGCCCTCTGATTGACAGCCTTTGTCATTCTGAGTTTGCAGTAGGGCCAAGATTGCTGACACTTTCGATGGCACTTTAGGAGCAGTAGCAGTGTCAGTCACAGCCCATCCAATCTCAGGTGCCCCAAGGATAATAGCAATAGTCCGGATCTGACCCCAGTCTCTGCCCAGTCTGGGGTGGCCGTCTTGTTGTGCTGCAGCAGGGAGGGGCATGACGCTGTCAGTCAGCCCAGCGGCCAGCCACTGGTGTCTGTCGGTTCCCACCAGCCCCGGGCAGCGTCAGTATCAAAAACAGAAAGAAATGGCAGAAAAGAAATTCTCTTCAGGGAACATGGGTCCTCAATCCCGTGTCACAAGAGTCGGTCACTGCTGTTTCCACTTGGAAGTTTCTGAGTAACCACAGAATGACCGCCGTTTCCCCGCGGCCTTCTAACCCAAAGTCTCTGTGCTGCTAAAGCCTTTGGAAGCTCCTGCTTTCTCCTCCTCACTTGCTGAATGTCGTAACTCAGGCAGTGCGAGGAGTCAGAACCGCTCCTTCACTTCTTCCTCCGAACAGTGTTCTCGAGTGAGCGCCCGCACGGCGGTGGTGACACAGATGACAGCAACGCACGTCCCTGTCTGCTGACGCCAAAGGAGACCGAGTGTGAGCACCCCACACTCCTTCTCCAGCATCAGTCCTCCACACGGTGCCCCGTGGGCAGAGACGGGTCCTGACCCAGCCCTCGCATGACAGTGTCCAGGATGTTGAACCAGGGTGACCGCGTCCCCTGGTCACATTATAAAGGAAGCATCCTTTACAAACATAAAAAAGAGGCCCAACTCCACTCTGCTACAGATCTAGCTCCGAGCAGCACAGTCTGCTTCCTCCTCCCCAGCCGCCTTCTGCTTTTCTGTCAGGAAAATGTCCCTTTTAAGGATTTCTCAGAAGATAATGTCACCACCTCTCATCGCAAGTGAGGGCTTTTCAGTTTAATTTTGTGGAAAGCATTCCAGCCCAGTGCTCCCCTCACACCAGGATAAAAGCAGACAGGAGAAGTACCAGTGTGGGGAGTCACCTTCTCCGGAGACGCTGCGCACTCTATTAGGTATTTTCCCATTTGTTCCCCCGAGTACCCTGACTCATAGTGCCATACCTGCCGGTCCTGGAGCTGCAGCTGGGGTGCGAAGAGGCATATCCCGTCCCCTGGGCCTCTGCATCTTCGACATGGAAAGGATAGTCCCTAAAGTTCCAAATGAAGATTTTTAAAAATTAAGATTCTTTTCATGAGCCACAGTGATTTTTTTTAACCAGTTCACATGTGAAATTCTACAGTGTTATCCCATTTGTATAATCATAAATGTGTCCCTTTTTTCCTCACAAACGGCCTTACCCCCAAAACCACCAACATGATAAATTGTAACTCAGCCATTATATTTTCAATCAGAATGGTCTAGTACTTGACCTAGCTATGTTACATAGGATTTTTTATATTTTTATGTTGCTTTTTCATGGTACCTATCTGTTTCTTATTCTTTTTTCACCCATCACTTAAATTACTTGGGAAAACATCACTCTTTAAAATTTAGATGCTGTGTTAGTTCACTTTCCATCACTGTGACAAAACAGCTGAGAAAATTCAACTTAAAGGAGGAAAAATTTATTTGGGCTCATGGTTTCAGATGTTTCAGCCTGTGATCTCCTGGCCCCATTGCCAGGTAGAACATCACGGCAGAGTGTGTGGCAGAGGAAACTTATTCACCTCATGGTGGCCAGAAAGCACAGAGAGAGAGAAAGGAGCACCCTCCAGTATCCCCTCCAAGGACACACCCCCAGTGACCTAACTTCCTTCCATTAGGCTCCGCCTTCCACTGGTTTCACTGCCTCCCAGTAGAGCCGCGGGGCTGGTGACCTAGTTCAGCACACAGCCTGTGGGGTTCACCAAAGATCCAGAACCACAAGAGATTCTATCAAATAAGGAAACAAGAAACGTGGAAGATAGGAAAAAGGGTGATAATGACAAGTTAGAAAAAATAATAAGTGTGAGAGACTCCTTTTTTGTTGAAGCCATGAGCTTGTTTTTCCCAAATGAGGCTACAGGGTGGGGCAGGGAGGTTCCCATCTCCCATTTGTCAGCGTGGGCAGCAGAGGCGGGCAGCAGAGGGAGCTCTTTCCACTATCCCTGATTGAAGGCCCTGTCGTGATACCGCGGCTCATCAGAACCCAATTCCCACAAGAGCCAACCCGAATGTGTAGGGTGAGTGGTGGGCACCACCTTATAGGAAGACGGCGCCTCCTGTCTGCTGGGGAGGGACACTGCATGCTGAGCTCGGACCTTGACTCCCAGGGGAGGCCTTTTTGCCTGTACAACTCCTCACCTAACTTCACCTTGACTTTCACTTCTGAATCCTGTAAGATAGCCTCTTAGGCGCCGGAATCAATGAGTCTGTGGCAGTCGTGCAAGAAGATGAAGAAAGTCTGTGCACTCCACTGAGTGGGGGATGTTGGCCCCGAGTCAGTCCCAGAGTGTTTTCCACGGCCTTGGGCAAGCCAGTAGTCCACCACGGAGCTGTGGTCCCCAGCCCCAAGTCCAAATTTATAAAGGTGACCCGAATGACAGCGCAAAGAGGGGAGCTCCAGCGGAAGAGAAGCTTCGTGTTCGGTTTCCCCCGGAATGAGGGGCAGAACGCACCCCCAGGGCCAAGCAGGGAAGCACTTAGGCAGAACGGAAGTAGTGGGAAAGTACAGCCCCTGTTCTTCATGGGCCCTTGAATGTTTTCTGCAGGAAAGACAAGGCTAGGCAAGCTTCCACTCAATTGTGCCCTGGGCTCTGGCTACAAGGGCGATCTCTAGTTGTCTAATAGCTGACCCCTAGGGATTAGGGCAGGGGACATTCTCTCCCCTGGTGTAAGGGCCAGATAGAGGAGGTGGACTGGTTAGTCTGCCTGTGGAAAGCATGCTCCCAGGCCACCCTTCCTGTGTCTAGGAATTAGCCAGCCTTGGGAGGGGCAATTTCTTCCAAATTAGTGAAGCCCCAAGGATGTCAAACATAAAAATTAGGAAAGGGGTGATGAGTACCAGCTCACACTAGCATTTCTAGATTGAACTTTTACACCCAAAATGACTTAATACACTTCTCTGCAGAAGGGTGTTAAGGAAACTGACAGGAGTTAAACTTAACCAAGTTTGAGCAAGAAAGAGGTTCTAGAACCATGGAGCACTCCAGATCCAAAATGGTTTAGAATGCCGTCCACCCCCAAGGTCATGAGCTGTGTTTATAGTGGGAAAAACAGGAGATTAGTTGATTGGTACAGTTTGGCATTTGCTTTATTTGGGCATAATCCGGGAGACTTTAGTGTGGGATTGGCTGAGGGAACAGCTGCTATAATTGGCCGATGCTCAGTTGCTTGGTTTCCAGGGGTATACACTTAGATTACAACTTGCTTGCACATCAAGCTAGGTTGTAGTTCATTTTATAGAGGCTGCCCTAAGTCTGATTTTATCACCCAGGTAAGGAGGCCAGTTTAGTCCAATTTAGTTCGATTTTAATAATTCTTCCTTGGGGTCATCCTCTCAGACTGACCATGACTATAGGCGTGGGCCATGACACCATCTTTAGCAACCATCATAAATAATCTGCTTGTTCTTGGTTCAGAATTTAAATTTCATAATGCCACATGAGTTGGATGACTTTTGTGTTTTACATTTTTGACATTCTGACTGCCGTGAGACCATTTGATTTAGCAAGGACAGTTACATCCAGGTCTTTAAGGCTTCTGAGTAAGTATTACACAATACACAGGGCCAAGAAACTGGTCAGAAGGCAGGAGTGAGCCAGGGCAAACAGCAAGACCCAAACCAGTGAGCAGGCATGACAGAATAAATGAGTTCTTCACACTCCATGGAGGACCCCCAGGAGCTGGAATGAGGGCCATCTGGTGGTGTTTGAACATACGTCGATTCTCTCACCTGTAAGTCTGCATGGCTCCTATTCCAGGTGTACTGGAAAATTTGCTCTTAGTGCTCCGTGTTTCACCTGTTGTAAGGATGCATAACCATACTTATTGTCAGGGGTCCTTCTTGGTGGTTTATCAGTGACCTCATATGAGCGGTCACTCCTACCCACACAGACAGCTACCAGAACATGTTACCAGGAGCACAGAACACCCTGTGTCGGCCTCCCCTGGACAGGTTTTCCATATGTAGCGACTGCCAGGCTATTGATTGGAGAGATCAGTGAGCCTAGGAAGCAAGTAGTGATATTTAAAATATCCAGGGTAGGCTTCCACTCTTCCTTTGTGTTTCAGGGTATTTCTCAATGGGAGCATGAGAAAGGTACCTGCATTAATGAAAGAGTTTGCTCATCTTTTTGGCATTAGCCCACAGTCTCAACAGTCACCCTTTCTTTCTTTTTATTTTTCACTTATTTATTTTTTGCAGGGCTGGGATAGAACCCAGGCTATGCAGGCTAAGCCAGTGCTCTACCACCGAGCCACCCCCTGCCCTCCTTCTGGCTTCTTGCTAAAGCATAAGCCTTTGCTGAAGCCATTGACAGATGATTGCTCTGCACTTCTTTCCCTGTTTGGGGTGGGGTGGGGAGTAATTAGCCAGAAACAGAAAAAAGAAAAGAG